CATGGGAAGCCGGGTGCGACTGTTTCCATATGCATTGTGTCAAACATGTTTGGCCAAGGGAGTGGGTGTGGGAAAGCAACAGCAGCAAATTGGAGGGAATGTGTGAATGGTTATACGTGTGTGTGTTTGTGTGTGTATATGCGTGTGAAACAATACCCTGAGGCTCTCCAGTGATCACACTGATTCACTGCCCTCTCCTGCTGTACCCCCAGATACACACATTTTACAGCCGCATTCCTTCACTCCGAGGCCTGGCGGCGGCCTCAGCTGCACGCCCGCCCCAATAGCAAAACACAGGAGGGGGTCAGGGGGCACACCATTACTCCGAGAGACAAATAGGCCATCCAAATAAAACATGACACCCTGAACAGGGGACCTGAATGCAAGACTGGTCGATGGGCTGTGCACAAATGTCTTGTTCAATGTCATCTTTCAACTCAAACATTCCTGTTCACAAGTTTTGACAATAAAAGAGTTTTGACCTGGTCTTTGCACCATACCCTCTGCAGTTTATTTGTTGTTCCTCTATTACAATGACCTGCAAATATTGCCTGCTGTGACCCAGCTCAGAGGGTTACCCGTTTTATGTTTCACTGTTGATTCTGGTATTAAAGGGGATTTTTCTTAGCAGCCTACCTTGTACCATTTTTGTAGCCGAGCGCTTGCATCTTGTCTTGGTTTGTCAGCCTGGCCACTCTACCTCAGTGACCTTCTATTAAGGGATGTCAAGCATTTTATACCGCCTCTTAAAAAGTTGTGTTTTCAAGTAAACAAGTTCAGTGAGGGAGGACAGAGACTAAACGCTGCATGAAGCACAAGACTGGCTGTAAATGCAGGGAGGTCAGAGTTGCTGTTTCGGGACACTTGTGTGTTATGGTGTGTGGAATGAGGCTGCTGGTAGTGGGGTCGTTTCCCCCCAGCAGCTTCCACGCTGCTGCTTTACTGTACTGCTTCCCTGCACCGAGTAGCAGATGTACATAAAAACACAACTGCTTATTTTCAGGCGTTTTGTGGCTGTTTTAACAAGGCAACTAAACAATGGACACTGTTTGGATCATCTTGCTCCCCACACACGTTGTCTCATTTTGTTTGGATTGACAGTAAAAGCTCACAAGAGGAAACCGTAATGCAGAGGGGCGGGTGAACTTTGCCTTGTAAGGAGCCTCCGGGATGATTTCTTCTCCTAAAACAATCATATGATTCACTCAGCCACTACGTTGCTAAGAGCTTGTGTTGAAAACAATGGACCGTCCACTCAGCAACACGGGCCAACTCCGAGCTTCCACCCCTTCATGACAAATCTGTCATCCCGTATGCAATGCCTCAGACTGGCTGGAGCAATCAGTAACACCTCACCACCCTTCCTCCTTGTACATGGGGAATGTTACAGAGCTGAGCTGAAAGCAAAGAGGATAGGAATCGAGTGTGCGTGTATGTATAGTGTGCGTCTGTGCGTGAGCGTAACGGAGACGCAAAGAGTAGGAACTCGCTGAAACAGGAAGCCCAGGAAGACTTTTACATTGGAGGAATTTCCTGCCAGTAAGATGTGTATCACTGTGTTTCTACCGTTAAGGAGACATGGAGAGAGGGGAAGAAGGAGGAGCAAAAAAGTTTGCTCTGTGTGTTTGAAAGGCTTTTCAAGGCAGGTTTCAGGCTTACAGAGCAGGTTTGAATATGAGCCACAGTAACCCATTCTTTTCAAAGACTTATATGATTGAGAGCTGACCTCTGTTTTTTTCACAACAGTATAACCACATTTTCCATCATTACCTTCAATTACCTCGCTCAAAAACACTTTTTATCCACGGCTAAATGAATCACAAATCCAATAGTTCTGAAAGGAACTGATAAACTGCTTAAAGGAACAAACAGAAGTCAAATCCTCCTGATTGTTGTGGCTGTTGACTTTTGTGTGTACAAACTATCAAGTTGCCTGTTGTGGCCTTTATCTGCTGTCTGTTCCCTAGTGGTAAAATGGTGTTTATTCTGTGAATTAAAACCCTAACAGTTGCCCGATGGCAGTCATCAGGGTGTCTCCCCACCCCGCCCCCACGGAGCCCATCAGTGTCAGCTCACCGTTTGTGCTACAAAGAGAAATGAGATGAGGGCGGAGGCTGGTGCCTCAGGGAATGAATATCATTTAAAAGTGGCAGATAGATGCAGTGATTGTTTGCTAAATTAGAGTCAGAGGCCACTTTAATTTTGGAGTGAAGCGTTTTGAAGGAATAGTTTGACATTTTTGGAAACTTATTTGCTTTCTTAAGACTCTTAAGCTTGCTTTTTTATGACATGTCTCACGTCTAGTCAGATGGAACGGATACATTTGTATTTTAATCAATACAGCCATTTACACATGCCACATATGTCATATCTCTTCTGTTGTACGTGCATAACTGCAAAAGGAAAGATATATTGTACTTTAATTCTATTTTCTTTGGTTTTATGCATGTATGACCAATATGAAGTTACCATGAGCATCTGGTTAGCTCAGCTTAGCGCAAAGACTAGAAACAATGGTAAGGAAATCTGCCCACCAGCACCTCTAAAGCTTTTTTGGTATGGTTTATTAAGTGTTTTTTTCAATTTTCTGAACTTTTTCTTTAAAAGTTAAAGTTAAAAGAGTGTTCCACATTTTGGATAATGTTGGCTTTCTTGCAGAAAGTATGATTATAAGATGAATACCACTCACATAACTCTCTGCAAATGCAGATATTTCCCAAAATGTTGAAGTATTCCTTTAAATTTGATCATAACAGACCGGTGACAGTGATGTTTCTTTTCAACCAAGGAACCAAAGATGTTTTACTTCCTCATAAAGAATTTTAAATAATAATAAAGGAAATGACAGTGTTATTTTGGACACTGAGTTGACATCTTCATATCATGATGTATATGTGTGAAGATGACGTAAAGAAAGTGACTTCCTGGTATTGATATGAATGATTTGTTTTGCTATATGAAAACATATGCTCAGTTTCCAGGGTGGAAGATAGTATGTGCTGTGTGCACACATCCTACACACACATACTTCTGCATATATATGCATGGCCTTGCAGGAGTGCCAATGTGTCAGGTCTATATTTAAAATAGTTGGCCAGCTGTGCAGAGTCCTATGAAATGTTCTTTAAGTGTTTTGCTGCACTTCAGATCTGTTGCCATAGTGGCCAAATGATGATGTCAAAGCAGAGGCACTGGAATAAAACCACACCCCCTTTTCTACGGAAATCACAGTTTGACCAAGATGGAAAATACTGTTCAGTTAGCCAGGCCAAATTATTCACCACCAAAAGCAGAACAGGCTCTGGCTTCACACACAAAATATGCTTAACGGAACACACTTGTGTACGCTGGCTTGTAGGTTACGTTGCTACTGGATGACACACATACAGACTTGTGTGAAGAGACAGAGGGGGGCAAAACACTTCAAAGAAATATTTCTCCTATCTTCTGGCAAATCCTGATCCTTTAAGATGTAGAATGGATAATTGTGGGTGGATAGATAACATAAGAACTGTGCTGTTCAGTCGGGCAGACACTAATGAGGAAAATGACTAAGAGCTGATACCGTTATTATCTATTTCCAAAGTGTTTGCTGGCCCCCTCTGACTAACCTCATAAGTGAAGTCATGGGACTGTGTGTGGATGAGTATGACGACCTCCTCTGGCTTCAGACTTTCGGAATATCCAGGAACACAAATCAAAGTAGCATGAGTTGACATACCTATCACTTTAATTCACCAGTATGTTTGTGGCAGATCTTCTCATTTCATTTTGCTATGATGGGGTTTCTAAAAAACCGAACCATGACTTCAGAGGGAAAGTTTGGACTAATTTTGATTGGCCCCATATAATCTGTCTTTCTGTCAACCAC